AGCATCCGTCTGCCACACAAATTAATAGCAACAACTGACGTTACCTAGAGCACTTTTCGACCGAGTGTTATAAAACCAAAACCAGAGCAATCATGACGACCAATCAGAAAAAAAAGGAAAATACTCTAGGGGCCAATAAGACCTTAAAGTGAAACCAAGTCGTGATTGGTTTCAGTTTTTGCATCTGATTGGTAAAGAGAGTGGCGAAAGTGCATTGAGCCAATTACAGAGCGCAGTAAAGCAAAACCAGTGAAATCGCAGTTTACTTGCGACACTCGATTGAAAATTTCTCTGAGCGAATTTTTGGAAAGGTGTCGACGAGAAACACTGAAAGGGACTACGTGAAGAGATTTTGAGCTATTTTGAGCGTCACTGAGAACAGAGCGCGTTTCAAACAAGTGTCGTATAACCAAAGATCTAAGAGATTACAGCGGTTAATCAAGACAAAGGAAAATATCACAAAGAGGAAATGGAAACTCAGAGTAAAAACACGAAGCCTGGCTGAAATGCGGAAAAACGCTTAAGACTAAGACACGATTGAATCCAGTATTTTTTGCATTTGAATGATAGCGGAGGAGGCGCGATTTTTCTTGACCAATCAGAGAAAAGAGATAGAAAGCCTATCCAATCCTGCATCACTTTCGACACTCAATTGTATATTGCGATTAAGTAAAGATTGCAAAAGCCGTTCACTGAGGTAGGAAAACACCAGAGATACCATGGTAAGGTAACTCAGATGGAAGAGAGAATTGTAAGGATACAGACGATTCAAACTGCCCGGAACGCTTCAGGCTTAACATTTTTAAGAAGGAAAACCTGGAACGAGGCTGGCTTTATAGCATAAACCAAAAACGAACGATGATTGTTAAAACTAGAGAAGTTAAACTCTTCATATTCCTCTTTTATTAGAGGCTTGAGGGGATAGTTTACAGCAAAATCGGATGCACACCTTATTTTAGTTTCCTTCTTCTTTTTCGTATACTTTAGTTCCACTCGTTCAACTTTACAAGACAAGTGGTAGCTGAGGAAAGTAACAAAAATATACAAAATGAATCATGAATGAATGAACTGTTAGTCGTTAAATGATGGCTGCACGCCCATTTTACTATAATTGTGATTTGGGTCCGCCTCTTTTAATAAGTTTTCCAGTCAGTTTAGGAACACACTTTATCTCTGAAGCACAACGTTAGCTTCCACAGTATATATCACTAACAGTCTGCTTTCTCTCGATATTGAGCAAGCGAGGAGCGTAAGCTTTGGGCGAGAGAAGACTTAGATCAGACGGTTGTGTCACGCAGGTTCTCGACTCAGCTCCTCTCGTCCATACTTCAATAGCCCGTGTTCGATACGTTTGATCGTCTAGTACATCAAGTGGAGGTTTACTAGTAAGATTTGAGTGGAAAAAGAACACAGGCGAACAATCATGTTTTTTTTTTCCCGTGGTTTGATTTTTCCTTTTCGGCTCCTATTCTCTTTTAAAAGTTTTTTTTTCCTTTACGATGGGACTTCGTAATACGAGCAGCTAAAAAAAAGAAGAGTTTCACGAGTTTCTTCCAGAACGTTTTCCTAGTTAGCCTCAATTTCGTGAACTCGACCCAGTTCTCCTGGCAGATCCATTTCTATCCTAACAACGATTTACCACGTAAACTAACCTCTCTGATTCTGTAAATGTCTTGATGTTATCAAACCAACGTCGAAATTTTTCATCCTGAACGATTATGTAGTTCTTTGCCGCTTCTTGAAGCAGCTTTATTTGAGCGATTATTTCAAACTCCTGGGTTGGGTTAAAAGTACACACAAATCAATTGTAACTCTCAGAAGGCTTACATAAAAAGCAAACATCTATATTCAACTTACCTTTCTTCTTTTCTCAAAATTGATCAAGCCATCCTAGGAAAAGAAAGCAAAACGTCCTTGGGAAATTCATGACTTTGTTCACATTTTAAGGGAATGTAAAAGGTAAAAATACGTTTGTAGACTGTGGAGTTAAGTAAGTCCGCATACAATTCAAGTGAAAGGCAGACTCGTACCCAGCTTTTTCTTATTTGCGCACTGATTGATAGGAAGGATTAGCGAGCTCGCGTTGCATCAAGGCAAGGAAAGAAGAAAAAGCCACTTTTTCTTCCTTCTTCCCAAGATTCCCTTTCCAGATAGGAAAAAAAAGTGTCGACTGAGTACAAGGCCGAGTGAAAGGCACAACACCGGTACAACACAAACCTCACCCCTCCCAACTCCCACCCTCCCCCGCACTGCAATTTCCCAATTTTCCTTAACAGTTGCTAGGTTGGGGATGACTACTTCGAGCGCTGTGTTTCTCGCCTAACACCCATTCCGACCCTAGATCCAGAGTCCAGAGTCCAGAGTCCAGTCCAACATTTAATATGTAAAATAGCCGGGAAGAGGGAGGTGGCTTACGTAATAAGGTGGCTTAAGTAATGAGGAGGAATGATGATGCCCAGTTCCTCTCACCTCAGTGAAATCTTGATAAGCGGCATCTAACATCATTAGGTCGGTTAGAAATGTGCCCAAGTATGGAACTGTTCCTTGGATAATTCCCTAAAAAGGAAAAAAATATCCATGTACAAAACATCTTACAAAAATAAGGGAGAGGAATTCAGGTTTTCGTTTTCTGAATTCGGTCAAAATCTGTTTTCCGGATTTTCCAGCTCGTGCACACAAAATTTGTGTCTTTGGAGCAAGTAAGATCTCTATGGAGACTCCTCAGTAAGGAACTCCGTAACAATCGGCTGTTTACGAGTATTATCGTCCAATGTCGGCAGTTTAATAAAACAACTTTCTGTCATTTTCAGAGTAAATATTTTATTTTCGAGTTGTTGTCGGGAAGGTAACTCGAAACAACGAGAACTCCAATTAATTGCCATTTCATAAGGAAGTAGTTATGTGCTTATCGCAATATCATCAATATCATCATCATCATCATCGAGGATCGGCTTTCTTTTAAGTCAAATGGAAAGTTGAGTACTTGCTCTTTACCATGGTCAGTCATCAAGATTACTATCGGAAAATTGCATCAGTAATAGCAGACGTACCGCCTCAAATTGTAATTGTCAGTACGTCTCACAGTTTTGCTCGAGTGATCACGACGTTGCTTCGGAGTGTGAAAACCCCAAGAGAGGAAAAAAGTTAAAATATCCTCGAAATCTTTCGTTAAAAGAAATAAAGAGTTGTTATCGTGACAAGCTCCCAGTTGGCTTGTTAAGTCTTGGTTATATCACGCTGTCGAATGGTGTTTTCCGCCTTCGTTTTCGCAACTACTTCGATTTCGTCTCTAGCTTCAGTTAAATGGTATCGGTCTAAGAGCATCTTTATTCCGCAATTGAAATATATCATTTCGATTGATTCACTTTTGCTGTATTCACCCTTCACGCGCGTATTGCGAAAACTGAGATACACAGATCACTTCCTCACAGTTGTTTCACTATCTCAGTTGCAAAAATATCGCCCGACTATTATGGGTTCGAGTTCAGTCTAGGTTGACTTTTCAATTATTATAACTACTACGGTTGTGTTTCTGACCGTAATTATCTTTCATTCCATAATACTGGTTCATAAACAATGTCCGAGTTACAATTTACTACAAAATCAAAAATACTGATGGAAATAAGTCACTTCCGTTTTTAAACGCTTCAACTTAGAACCTGAAACACTTGAGAAATCTTTAGGTCTTCGTTTCATTTCAGTCACGTTTGGCTGAAAGCACAACTTGCCTTGTTGCACAACTTGAATGAAAACCAGCGCTTATCGCCTCGAGGACGATATCATTGAGCAATTTGCTACGCTTCGCAGTTTAATTACAAAGTAGTTTTATCAAATACAAACAGTCATAAACACATTATTTAAATTAAATTTCATTATTTTAATTTAAGATATTTACAGCAAAAAACATCTCTAAATATAGATGAGAGGAAACAGCACTAAACTAGAACACAGGAATGTAGTTTAAGAGCGCCTCAGCCAAAGTTATTCCCAGATTTACTAATTTTAGCTAGAGGCAGATATTTCCTGTTTTTATTAGACCTTACTTCGACAAGCACTCCTTACCGTGCCCATATTTACCATGCCCATATTTAGGATTTTGTCATGATATCCGAAACCGAATATCGGTTTTATGACTCAAAAAGAGCTGTTTCCACTTTTTGTAAGGTCTTTGCCTTTCCTATCCCTCAGGCCTAAGATCGGTTTTTCGGGCGGTTTCTTTATATGGAAATATTGGCTGGTATTCCGGTTTTTGATGGGCAGCAATAGTGCTTCGGGCCATATATAAGCATTTTGACTTGATTTTTAGCGAGAGTCTCGTTGTGTTCACTGTTAGCTACAACTGAGACAAGGAAGTGCAGTTATCTGAGATGGCCGACGATCTAGCATCAAGAAGTTTAGCACTGGTTATCTTCGAAGGCTCCTCTTTGGTCGTTTTAAACATCCTCTCACTGGCAGGAAATA